TGGAGTTGATTTCATAGTGCTTAACAAGACAGAATTAATTTTAAAATCTAGTTGTTACAATGTTTTTTTTATTAGATTATTTTCATTGTTAAAAGGAAACATTTTAAATTCAGCTGTTTTCATCAGCAATTAGTATTTGTGATTTTTTTGTACACTTTTCCAGGCTGTAGTATGTCTATTCATTTGGGGTTTGCTAGTAAATTTCCATTTCACTTTCTTATGTGAAACCCAGCTTCTTTGTCACAACCAACGATAAAAAAAATATTTCCAAAAGATATTATTACCAAAAATGCTTTATTTATTTCTATTTGCATTACTTCCAGAATTTTCTAAAAACTTTCATACTTGGTATTGTCTTTCCACATATATATGTCTTGCTCAGCGAACAATATTTATCAGTCTGTTTGCACAAGAGGGTATGGATGTTGATCCTGGCTGTGGCTTCTCAAGCCCTAGTTTGGAAAAACTGATTCCCCTGAGTACCCACAATTCCTACTGATCTCTTCTTGATGAAGCAGCTCTTTCAAACACGTTCCCTTTGACTGAGAGGATGGATGAAAAACCTTGCTTGTGCTCCAGAGTCCCTTCATGCTGCTGCCAGGGCTCTGCAATGCCTCTCCATCCCCTCAGACTGTTCCCAGCTGTAGCAGCGACGCCCAGATGATGTACCAGATGATCTGATGCTGGCAGTCAGCAGCAGATGCCAGCCAGCAGTGCAAGCTGAGGGCAGTAGAAAGCCTCAGTCTCTCAGTGCTGTTCCTGGGAAGCAGCACACCCTCAAGAGAGCGTCAGGGCAGCAAACCAGGGCCTCCAGAAGTCATCTGCTGCTGTCACCCCACTTCTCTGAGGAGCACTGCTGGTTGCTCAGGGAGCAGATGGAGCTGCCTCGCCCAGCTCCAGCACCTCTCCTGATGTGACAAGGTCTTTCCTCCTCAGTCTGCAGAGCAGTGAAGCGTTCTGCAAGGGCACATGCCTCGGATATCCTGTTTCTATTTTCAGCTTGTCTAAAAGCGCCTATAGACATAGTCAGGCATTTACTTGCAAAATAGCTATTGTGGTTTAAGCCACCTTGTGTCTGTCTGCTGAAAACAGTCCCACTCAGCTGAGTTACTATGTGTACTACGCTAATCCATTTTGGTGCAAATATAAATCACTATTCTTTACTATGGATGCTTTGTGACCAAAAAACTGCTCCTTATGTCTTTTGACCTGTTATTTTATGTTACGGAATCTCGTTTTTGACATTCTGATTTTTGTACATCAAAATTTGTGTCAGACATTCAGATCTATTTCCTTGTCTCCGAAGATTTCAGTCTGAATTTTTTGCTTTGCAGTTTATAAACATCAATATGCTAAAAATTTGTTTACTACCCCAGGTATGGTAATTGGCAAGCTAATGAAAATATTAAAAGAAGACAAAACTACATTTTGGATGTAATTTCATGACTGCTGATTCCAAACACTTTAATGTTCATAAAACTACTTGTATACCAGTGCAGGGGAGTGAGAAAGTTTGCAGTATTTTGATACAATTCAGATTTTAAATCTAAATTGACAATTTTTAAATCCAAATATTTATTAAACACTCAACAATTGCTTATTTTAAAGCAGAAGTCCAAATCCAAGACTATTGCTACATAAACACTGAAACTGAGGAGGTAAGAGAATGATTAACAATTACATGTAGGCAGAGGTTGATTTTCATGTTCCAGACTGTTCACTGATTCAATTTTGGAGTTTCTATTACTAAACAAACCTGCTCATCAGATTGTCCTCATATATAAAATTTCATATTTATTTTGAAAAGGAAGATTCAAGTTCTGAGGTTTGTAATTTCCAGTATTTTTCCAAAGAGACGCTTACCACCTTTCAGCTTTTCTCATTATTTACTATACACCTTTTCAAACCCATCACCAAAACTCCTGTCAAGTTTATGTTGTTTTGGAGCCTCAGAAGGGCCAGTCCTTGCTGGAAAGACCTGGCCCCTGCAGGCAGCCACACTTCTTTCCACTGTCTATGAAGAAGTATGCATCTTCTGTCTGTTTGTTGGTATGTTCTGTCCTAATGAATTCATATTCCTGCTCTCTACTGTATTCTTCTAATCAGTTGAGAGGTCGAGAGAAAAATGGTAGCTTTGTTACAGCCTGTTTCAAAATACCTGTTTACTTTCATGGTTATCAGGAATTTAGTTTTGTATTTTCTTGGATATCAGTCAGGACAATCCAGAAAACAGTTTCCACTCAGACATATGTAATAGAGGAGTTCATAATGTAGCCACAATATTTAAAAGAAAATACTTCTGCAATGCTTGAAAACAATACTATAGTGATGCTCAATGACATTCTCAAAGTTTCATTTTCTTATATAGGGATTTGTTTTGAAAATCATATTATCTTTATTTTTAAAGCAATATACTGGTAAACAGCAAATTTAGGGCATGAAATTTTTCCTTTCAGAGTTTTCCTTCATACTACCTTTACATATTTTCCAGCCTCTACTATCATGCTTTACAACACCAATCTGATCTTTTTGTACAATTTCTCCATCATTATTTCTGTTGTATATCAGATTTACATTCAAGATGGCAATAAATACTGATTGTATACAAGGTTCTAAGGACTAGTTTTAAAAAGTCACTCAGAAATATGTCTCTTTCTAAAAACATTAACTTTGTAAACTATAAAATCTTAAGCAGAATTTGATTATACCTTAAAGGAGAAAAGAAATGTGACAAACTTGGATCCTCAGCAAAAGACCATATTATACTTTAAAGGGACTGTTCTGCTTCACTTGCAAATCTCTCTGCAATTTTACATCAGACGGGATGATCAGGAACAATGACTCTCCCAAAATCATTTGGAGTAACATCAGTTCTGTAAGGCCATGGGACTTGCTGCAAATAACTGACTTGGCTGAACATGTCACCTCAACTGTTTCTAACTGTGCAGAGACCAGAGGTTAACACTGCAAGTCTATGTGCCAACACAAATAAACATCTGAAGGTGCCATGACCTCAATCAGCCCCAGTCTGGAGGCTGTTTTAATTACCTGGCCAAGATGAAGATGACCTATGCAGATTAAGTTTTGCCTGCTGTGTACTTTGGGCATTCATATTGCCCCTTGTGCCTTCTGAGCTTTGCTCTTGGCATATGTAAACATGGAAGGCAGTGAAATGTCTGGGTCTGATCTAACACACTGCAATAAGAAAAAGCCTTGGAGCTAAAAGCTGGTTAATTCTGTTTGGGGGATGTCCCAAGGAAATGATCAGAGGTAACGTGGGAGGTGTGTCTTAAAAACAGAGCCCAGAGGCACCTAAGGTGGCAGAGTCCGAGCAGTAGTTTTTCAGTAGTTTTTGTTTTGTTGGGGTTTTTATGTGTAGGCATAAAGGAGGCATCATATATCTGTCTGTAGAAATCAGCAAAAGAACCACTTTAAAACATGGCAAGAAATTGCTTAAATTAAGTGAGAATTTTAAGGGCAGCACACAGTGGTCTCACCAAAATGGGCATGAGTAGTGTATAGACAAAATTATGGAGGTGAAACTTTTAACACCAAAATAGTGGGCAAAACAGGAATATTCTAAAGCACTGCCTTTAGACTTAGCATGTAAAAGTCTATGCTTATTAAAGAGGCATAAAAGCTGTTATCAACAAAAATCTTGATACATTGGCATCTTCAAGAATGTGACACAGGCCACATGATTGACAGTGAATTAAATGTGAAATGTCCCTTTTCACAGTACCCTGTGCCTAACTGGCAGATATTATGCATTTTTAAATACTGCGTATAGGGCCTTTTTTTGCAATAAAAATATACAAAGGTTTCCTGCAGCTTGCTGATTGGCCTCCTTTTGTCTCTAAGCAGGGACTTTACTGAAGAAAAGAAAAAACAAAAATAAACAAAAAACCCAAACAACCCCAGACAATGACATACCAAGGAAAATATTTAAAGTCTAAGGAGAGAGTACTCATGTCAGGTGCCAGCAACCAAAGGCAATGTTATGAAAAAGTCAATAAAATTCCCCTAAAGATTTAGAGGGGAAAATGCACCAAAACAGACAGAGAACAAGAAGATGTTGCACCACTCCAGAAGCCCAATAGCGAGGTAAAGCACTGCCATGCCAGGCACGCAGCGGGAAGCCTGGAGCTGCCAAGGCCGTGAAAGATGTCAGCGAGCAGCCCCATGCCAGGGCGCCAGGGAGGGTGCCAGCGCACCGGCACAGAGCGCCAGGGCAAGGGCCTGGAAACCGGCAAATATGTCATGAAAGCCCCAGCAGGAAGAGAGGTCTGCCTGCCGGGCGTAATCCAGGAAAGGAACTGCTCCAGGGAAAGGCGCGGGGGAGGCAGAGCGATGCTGTTCCCTGCAGGGATGCGCGGCCCCGGGGCAGCCGGGGCGCCAAAGCCCCGCAGGGACGAGGTGGGAGCCGGGTGGGAGCCGGGTGGGCCGGGGGCGGCGGGGCCGGGGGCGGCGGGGCCGGGGGCGGCGGGGCCGGGGGCGGCGGGGCCGGGCCGCGGGCAGCGCCGGGCCGGGCGGGGCGGGGCGAGCGCAGGGGCGGCGCAGCCGCAGCCGCGGCGGGCGGAGCGCGGAGCTGTGCGCGGCCCGGGCCCGCTCATTACTCAGCGGCCGAGGCCGGAGGCGGTGGTCGGTGAGCGGGGCCGGGGCCGCAGTCCCCGGGTGGCCGTGGGGAGCGGGGCGGCCGCGCGGTGCCGGGGCGGGCGGGCAGCGGCGGGGCCCGGGCCGGGCGGTTTTGTTTACGTTCCGGAGGGCGGGAAGGGAGCCGGGGCCGGGGCCGGCTGCGCCCTTGCCCGGGGAGGGCGGCGGTGCGGGGGCTCCGGCCCGGCCACCTGCCGTGGCCTCGGGAGAGGTGCGGTGGATAATGGCGGGGGCTCTTTGTTGGTGTGGCAGGAGGGGCAGGAGGCTCGGCGCGGGGCTCCTCCTCCCGGGAGCGGGGGCACCGGGCAGGCCGCTCCGAATTCGGGGAAAGAGCCTTACAGGGCGGGCTGGTGGGAGTGCAGCCCTACCATGACCTTGTTCTTAAAAGCGCCTCTTGAAGCAAAAAATACTTCTCTGAAATAAAATAGCTGCTCTAGATGCACGGGCTGGGGGTGACCGGCAATGTCTTTTGTTTTTTTGCCTTTTAATTCTTAAATTTCTTTCAAAGAGGGGGACCTATCTCTTTGCAGAATTTCTTTTGCTTTTGATTTCTGTGTCGTTACATCCAGCTTTCCTTCCTGTTTCTTTATGCCTTTCTGCCTGGAGCAGTTCTATCAGTGAAGTTTGACCTAAGCTGCCTTAATAATAACCTACAAAAACAAATTCCACTTTATTATTTGTTCCACTCCCTAGCTGCAGTAATGGTTTTGCACATACGGTGTTGTGTTGAATCTCGCTGTTGTACAGAACAGGCTTACTGAAGCCTTTCAGGCAATCGACAAATCCTACCCGCTTTGGCCTATCTGATAATACAAACACAAAGGGTGTTATGCTTGTTCGGGGCTGGAAAGTATTACCTGCCCTAGGGCATGTGCATGTGGAATTGAGCAAGCCTACTCATTGCAGCTGGGTTTTACTTACAGGTGTGGAGACTTAAGCAGTGATGGTGTTGCAGGTCAGGTGAGACCTGGTCTCAGTTCTGGACGTGCCAACAAATGCACTTCCAGTGCAGAACAGTAACTGAGGTGCTTCATTACATCCCTGCGGGTACATCCGTATGTTAGATAACTTGGGAATGGTTCAAACTGTAACATGAAATGAATCTGGGCCAAACTTATTTAAGGATGCTGTCAAAGTGATTTTACTGACTTACTTGAGTGTTCCTTGTATATAATGAAGGGAAGCTCTTCATTCTTCTAATAGTAGCTAATAAAAATGTTGAATTTCAGATAGTCCCCTGCTTTGATCTTGGTCTCTTGGCACAGCTGTCTTCCCTTTTTGCACCACTTGATTCAAAGATGTGTAATACAGGCTAGTGTGACAGTAAGGATGCATAACATGGGATGCCAGGCCAGGGACCAGACACATTGCAGACCATCTGCAGATCTTGATGGTCTTCAAGGCTAGCTGGGGAAAAGTGGGATAGGAGAAGAGAGAAGTATATGCTGAACAAAAACTAATTGCAGGGGATGTACAAAGTTGTACTCTGAAGCAAAGCATTTTAATGTCTTCCACTGCAAAAGTTCCCAAGGTTTTTGGACCACTGGCTTGCATAAGCTTTCAGTGTAATCTTGTGGGCTACCATATACTTCATGGAGTCCTCTAAATCAGAAATATTAGTAAGGTGATCTAAGAGGGTTCCAGGTCCTGCAGTTTTTGGACTGTGCATTCTAGGAAAAAAAAAAGTTGCCTGTTATGTGTGGATTTTGTATTTTTACTTTTAACCCTGCTCTTTAAGGACCAAGGTATTTGGTGGGCTATTAGGTGTGCAGGTATAACCTTGTTTGCAAATGCCTTAGGTAGAATTCATATGCAAATATTAAGGAATAAATGTTGTATGGTGTTAGCGATTTATTTTCTGCCTGTTATTTACCTGAAATGACTATTTATTATATATGTGTTTTGCTTTCTTTTTCATCCTTCCTCAGCTGCCTAAATTATTTGGATGCTCACTGTTTAAAAGATGCATGGAAACTACACATAAATGCTCCTCATTTCTGAAGATTGATCCAGCATTCTGGACAAACACATATGTCCGTCTTAATATCCCCTAAAAAGTATGGTGTGCTATTTCTTAACCTTCATTTTCCATGCTCCCAATCCCTCTCCTTGACAATGAAAGTGCCCTGTATGTAGAGAGTTTTACTGTATTTGTTATTTTTAATAGATATAGTGTTCCACTTTTGAAATTAGACCAATCTTTATTTGAGCCTCTATTTTGTTTAATAAAGGCTGTTTACTGCTGTAAATTGTTCCTTTAAGAAACCCCTTAGTCCTTCATTCAAAACCTGCAGAAACAGGCTTCCATTTGTTATGGAAAGACCTCTTGGTATTTGAAAGCTCTTTAAAAATCCAGTTGAGCCTACTTATATTGCTTGCCTGCTGTGAAATTCACCACAGTTTTGCCATGGAGTCTGAAATACTTTTAAAGGTGTTCTTGTATGTGAAGAGATAACAATCTTGGTGTACCGAGCTTATAATTAATAGCCACACATTTCTCCTTAACTTTAAATTATTTTTTCTTTGAAGTTGTTAAGGACTAATTCTTGATTCTTTTTCTGTTCCAAATTGATTCTGTTCAAGCTTGATGCTAAAATTGTTGCCCATATTGTCATTTTTGTTGTTGGATAAATGCTACTTGATATGTGAACAGATGGGATGCTTATTAATCATTCTTAGCTGAATATTGCAGACTAATGGTAAAATGAGGACTGACAGAAAAATATACTTCAGCTCAATGGTCAGTTCTGTTGGTAACAAAGCAATTACTGTATACAAGCTCATTTGTGTGTACACTTAAACCAAAAGGGCACACATTGATTCTGCAGTGCTACTGGACAGCCTGTTTGCTGTAATTGTTGATTTTTGAGTATTAAAGAAAAGACAAGCACACAAACTGACAACCGTCCATTACTTTACTAATGCTATATTAAGAATTTGAGTTTTTAATATATATATTATATAGATAAATATAAAGCATTCAGGAACCCAGTATTTATTCTTTGAACTATGGCTAAAGTGTCCCATCATTGTAGTCTGTATCCATTCAGACGTTTACCTTTCTCCTTATCTGCTGAACAAAAGTTGAGATGTCTCAAGTCTGGTGTTTCGATCTTTGTGAAATAAGAATGATGAGCAGGGGGTACCCTGTTTCTCACTGGAATCTCAAAAGGCATGGAACTGTCCATGTTTATAAAATTAAACGGATTCCTCAGCTGTTGGTTGCTGGCAGAAGAGGAGCTGGGGCTCCCTGTAGCCCTGAAGGGTAATTGGTGCCTGAGCAGCAGGTACGGGAGGAACTGTTCCCAGCTGTGACACTCCCTGCAGGGCTGCTGGGAGCACACATCCCCCACTGTGGGACAGACCCACGGGGGAGTCCAGCCCTGCGTTCCAAGGTGGGTGGGGGCTCGTGTACCTGAGGATGCATAGAAGACTGGGTTTGCAACCTCAGGGATATCATGACTGCTGCATTTTACCAGCTTTAAGCAGGAGACTATAGAGGTGATGGAGCCACTTGCTGCTCTGAATGTATCAATAGCTGCAAGACATAAAAATGGAAGTTTGAGTAGGTTATGAAGGAGTGAATGTCTTAAGTGTAGCAGTTAGCCCCTCCTATGGATCAAGAGCCCAGAAGGGCAGTGAAGTCTTCATCCTTACAGACTTTAGACTCAACAAGGTCCAGAGCAGTCTGAGGGGAATACAAATTTGAAGTTCTACTTGTTTTGTAGATGATCTACAGAGGTTGCTTCCAAGCCATATTCTAATTCTTCTGTTTATGGATTTTAAAACTTCTGTTTACAAAGTAGCTTGAGGAAGTTGGCAAAACAAAGGCACAGTGATTTAGGTAAACCAGGTTGCTCAGAACTATTAGAAGTTGTGAAAGGGAAAGTAATGAGATGTGATAAGGATCTTAGTTCAACTCTGATGGTGGCAATATGGATTTTTCTGCCCTTCACTGAACTTTCTAGCTGACTAGGCCAAAAGTGCTTTCAGGCTAGCATAAAGGCCAAAAAAAGGCCTTATGGTACCTGTCAAGCCTGTGATCACTATGATGAACTTAAAAACCCATCTCCAACCAAAGAAACAGCAGCCAGTCAACAGCCTGGTAGCCAGCTCAAGTTAGTCCAGGTTTTGCTTTCTGTGTTGGAGGAACAAGTTGGCAGCTGCTGCTGCAGGGCTTTGATCTGCTGGGTGGGCGATGGTTCCTTTTGTGCTTAGCTGGAGTGTGGTTATCCCAGCAAGCAGCATCATGGAACAAACCAGCTCTGAGTTCCAGCTGGTCACAATAGCAGTCCATGACTATAGAGGGGCTGGCAGGACTAATGCTAGCTAGAAGAAAGGAAAAGGGTCATGGTAGATCCATAGATCTCTCTTTAATGCTTGTGCTGCCTTGAGAATATGTCCCTCATCTCAGTTGTTTCTCTAAGTTCTTACATATTTATCTATTTAGCAAAACCAACCAGAGGTCTTCATGAAAGTGAGGTGAGCAGTACACACAGTTACAACACAGAGTGTTTTATATCTTAACAAAGCAGCTGTCCTGGTATGAGCCTGTAGTATTTTAATATGTGAATGCAGCTGCTCATGTGTGACTCTTGAGAGAATTGTGTAAAAAATCTGGTGTTAGGGATGGCACATGTATGAGAATCCTAGATGTATTCTTTAGGAGCTTTAACACCTAAGATGATGTTGGAGTAAGTACGAGTCACAATGCTTACTTGCTGTACCATGTAAAAATACATAGTTTTGAAGAGGTAATCCTAATGTTAAGTTTTACTATGGAAACCGTAAAAGTGTATGCCATGGCTGACATGCCAACCAGCATAAATCTTGGTAAATTCTGGATTGTTCATTGTGTTTTGGATGGTGACAAACAGTCTGGTCATCTTCACAGAAGGAAGAGTAATAACATGATAACCTAAAAAGGTGTATTAGAAAGGTGTGGGCTAGGTTCACTTGTTTCATTTCATGCCAAGAAGTGAATACTTGGGAGACACACAGAGAGAGGATGGTCCTTGTGCACAGCAGTAGCTCATTTAATGAGCAGTGAAGCCTTCCAGCAGTGGGTGACTTTTGTTTGCACAGTTGCAGCAGTACAAAACTCATCCTTGTTGAACAATAGACAGAGTTTCTTTTGCTGATTTTTTTTTTTTTAACATTACAAGGTTCTTGTGCCACTTAAGTGTCAAGATGGTGGAAGAAAAAAGTTCAGTTTATAATAAGATTATATTGGACATAAAAAGGTTTTGTTAATACTAGCATGGCATTGTGGGAAAATCACAAAACCTTGATGTGATGAGAGCTATTTTATTCTCCCCCTATTTTAGTTTATTTGTGATTCTTAGGTTTCTTCAGAAAATTTCTCATCACAGCTCTTCGTAGGCATATCCACCAGTGCTAGTGTTCAGCAGTGCTTCTGAAGGCTAATATTCTTATTTAAAGAAAGGAGAGTCTCAAACTCTTACTATTTTTGAGAACTTCTGCCATATGGTAAGGAATATTTCTTTTTAATTTGGGTCAGCTGGCCTAGTTGTGTGCCCTCCCAGCATCTTGCCCACACCCAGCCCCTTAATGAGGGGAATGTTGGAGAGCTGATGCTGCCAGCTCTGCTCAGTAATAGCCAGAACTCTGGTGTGTTATCAACCCCTTTGCAGGTGCCAGTGCAGAACACAGCACTGTGAGAGCTGCTGTGGGAAAAGGAGCTCCAGCTCAGGCAGGCCCTGTACAAGCTGTTAGCACAGAGGTGTTCCCATCACTCCTGACTGGAGCCCGGTGGCATGTCTGTCATGGTGCCAGCTGACATTGGCTCTGCTGGACGTGGAGGAAGCTTCTGGCAGCTTCTCACAGAGCCACCCCTGTAGTCCCCTGCTACCAAGACCTGGCTATGCAAACCCCATGCACTGGGGCAGAGCATCAGGCACTATTGAAGTGTAAGAGAAATGGGACAACAGAACAGACTATTGCTATTAGTAAGTATTGGTATAGTTTCCTACAAATTTCCCAGAAAGCAGTTGCTTTATTTTGAAATGTCCTGCCTTCCTTCCCACCCCACTCACAAGAAATTTTTGTGCAAAGTATTGTATTGTGTTACAAGAGGTGTCTATGAAGGAATTCTTAGTGTTGAAGCTGTCATGTGCTGGAGTTTTTTGTTCCATTCTAAAGCTCTTATTATAGAGGTATTTCATGTCAAATACTTTAGATGGGATTTCATAGCACATTAATCTGCTTGTATTTCACAGATAAATGCATGAATTAACAAAAGTAGCACATTCATAATTGGATTCTATGTTTTCGTAGCTGGGATTAAAGGTTAAAATTAATGTAGTTTTAAGACATTCTGAAAACTTTTTTCCCAGCTGTTACCCAAATCCTTCCTTCCTCTAATGTTCTATAGCTATTGTCCTTTTGATCACTGATATTTAATTACTATTTTAGGTCACTTGGTATCTTTTGTTTACTGTCATCTTTTAAAACAATTCAAGAACCATTTAATTTGGTTTTTTGCTGAAACATTCAGATTTATATGCTTTTTTCCCCTGCAAAAAGAGGTTAAAGAGCAAGCATTTCCTCCCACTCCAGGATTACTCTCAGGGTAGGATTTTGTTTCTAAACTTGTGCAGATCTCATTGAAGCATTCTGAGTTACATTCACTGGTTCATTTTGCTGATGGTTTGCCTCTTTTTTGTTTTGCCAGTGGTCATTGGATGTACAGAGCTACCATATGAAGGCAGGCCTTTGTGGAATGGTGGGAATTAGTGGTCCCTTAAGTAGTCATCTGAAACAGTGTTGTGCCCAGATTAGTAATTTATTCTTTCCTTTTCAATTTTAAGTTATACATGGTTAAGTTTTTTCAAGTACCTGACTAAGCTGAATGGGCCGTGAAACATGATTCTGCTAAAAGGGAGCTACATAAGGCAGTATGGAATGGCATTCCCTTGAATGCAGTAGTTTCAGTCATGGCTTAGGCATGGTTATGATTAAATGTGTTTTCTGGGTCCAGCAGCAGGCACTTATATTGCACTTTCTATAGTTAAATCGGATGATTAAAATAGAACAG